GACCAGAGAACTCGAAAGGCGAGGCTCACCGAGCCACTTATCTCTCCACCCTTCAATTAACCCCACGTGTTTATCGGCCAGGTTGGCACAATAAATTTTAACTATCTCAGTGGCTGAGTCTTGGGGAAGAGAACTCAGGCTTTTCTTTCAAGGTGAGTGAGTTAACAGTCTGCACCACCCAGGAACTTTATACTTCTTATAATACACACAAATGATGTCAAGTTAAGTTCTTGAACTGAATTTACCGCGTGTAATCCCTGTAAGAGTGTGGAGAATGGACCATGTTCAAGTGAGCGACCCCTTTGTTGAGCTAGGCAACATGATGCCTTTGTTTACAGGTAAATCGTGACTACAGGGATAGGAGTGAGAGAGAACTGAACGGATTCTGCTTAAGGAAAAAAAAAACATGAATGAGTTTTTTTTCCGTTTCAAGGTTAGAAAAGAGAATAATGAAAGAGGCAAGGCCCAGAAAATGGAAAGCCGGGCATATGATGAGGTAAGGGTTTTTTTCTTCCCCCTCCCTCCTGCTTTTCTTGCAAAGGAACAAGGATTTGCTAATAATGAGTTTCTGGAATGTGTGCGGCAGAGTTTGGGTCTCCTGAAACGTTCCCAATGGTGTTTGATACACACGTGACTTGGTCCCTTTGGGTTGTTGTTTTCCCTTTGAATTGTATTGGCTGGTGGCGGTTCATCCTAACACGTTATGGTCACGGGTAGGAACTGTCACCTGGGGAAGCGTCCTGCCGAGTCAGGCCCACACGTTTGCTGTAAAATCGTAGTAAGTCACATCACCAATCTGGGTCTCAATTTTCTAACCAATATATTGAGTGGAAGCTGGGCTTTTCTCGGGGTTCTCCTGGCTCTAAAGTTCATGGGCCGATAAGGTTACTCTAGAACTGAGGTAGTTAGCGAAGGAAATAATCAAAGGGGCTTGTGCCGGGCTGGCTCCAGCTCCCAGTGACTCCTGTGCATCCGAGTAGAAATGTGCTCTACAGGGGAGTAAGGGACTGATTTGGGGGACGTAGCTCACCACGCCTTCTGAGGCCCTGCCAGGTGAACTGAACCAATTTTTCTGTTCACAGCCAAGCATGTGAACCATCTGTCCTCCCAGGGACTCTCACACAGAAGGGGAAAAGACATGGGTTCAAACCTACCAATCTTGCCAGTGTCCAGTACAAATGTCCCTAATAATTTCACCCCTGCTTCCAACTTTTTCTGCAATCCTTGCTCTCAGCTATCTGTTGAACACAACACCTCCCCCAGCCCCCTCCCTCAGGCCAAGCTGAGAGATTTGAGAATAGGCATGTGACCTACAAGGATGGTTGGCAGAAGAGAAAGCAAGAGGCAGCTGTCATAGGCCGTGGCGTTAAGAACTTTCTCAGACGGAGCCAAGTCTGAGGACTGAGGACTGGGAAGTGGAGGGCGTAACCGCTTCCTGGTCCCACTGCCTGATAAGATTTACTTCTTTGTTGTTTACTGCTTTAAAGCCCGTTTCCATTGGGTTTTCTGCTATCAGCTGTTTGTTGCAAGGAATAGATTGTATAAACAAACTTTTCCTGGGCATTATCTTTCAGGGGGTCACTGGAATCGAACTAAGCAACCCAGTGACAAAGAAATCTGTTTCAAAAAGCCAACTGCGAAGGTATGGGATGTGAAAGAAGTGTTATAAAAGGGCACGTGTGTGTGGGGGGGGAATCCAACGAGGAGGTACAAAATGGACTTTTACAAATTTTGGTTACTTTAGTATACATGTAATCACCAAAAGAAGTGGCCCTAAAACCTCACTGTGTGTATTCAAGTTAAACTCTGAGCATAAGTCAGCAGCAAATTATGCCAGTTTGGAGAAAATTCTAATTGTCCATCATGCTGAGGTCACTTGACTATGTCTTATATGGGCAGGTTGCAAGACCAGGGTATGTTGAACATCATCTCGCGATAGAAGATGACTTATTTTTGAATGTTTTCAGGCATGTGAAGTAGACATTTGGTTTGGACCCACAAGACTTCTAATAACAGTCCTTGATGTGTATGTGTGTCTGACCCTCCTACTCTTTTGAATCCTGAATTCATCAGAAACTAGTGCTACTGTTAAATTAATCTATTCTTACATTTCCATTTCTGCTTAGGTCCGTTTGAGCTAGTTTTCTGCCACTGGCAATAAAAAATTCTGATACAGGATGTCAATTCTAAAAGGATGGGATGTTTGAGGTCTCTCAAGATAGACCTTGGATTAAAACGCAGAGTGCACTGGTCAAAAATCTGTTAAACTGAAAGAAAAATGTTCTAATAAGGACTACCTGAAGATGAAAATATCTATTTAGAAGGTACTTAACTAAAGCTTAAAATAATTAAAATTAAAGCTAAACCATCTCCTGATGGTTAAGAATGGTGACCTTTAAGGTCTTTTATTTTTTTAATTAAATACTTTCATTGGGGGCTCTTACATCTCATCACAATCCATACATTCATCCAGTGTGTCAAGCACATTTGTACATATGCTGCCATCATCATTTTCAAAGCATTCTCTTCCCACTTGATCCTCTGATATCAGCTCCCATTTTTCCCCCTCCCTTCCCTGCCGGCCCTCCCTCACAAACCCTCAGTAAGTTATAGATTATTATTTTCATATCTTACCTTGTCCTCTGTCACCCTTCACCCACTTTTCTGTTGTTCATCCCCCTGGGAGGGGGTTATAGACTGATCCTTGTGATAGATCCACTTTCTCCTCCCATCCTCCCCTAATCTTCCTGGTATCTCTACTCTCATTATTGGCCCTGAGGGGTTTATCTATCCTGGATTCCCTGTGTTGCAGGCTCTTATCTGTTGCAGTGTGCATGCTCTGGTCTAATCTGATCTGTAAGGTAGAATTGAGGTCATGTTAGTGGGTGAAGGAAGCACCATATGAACTAGAGGAAAGTTGTGTGTTTCATCAGTTCTATACTGCACCCGACTGGCTCATCTCTTCCCTGTGACCCTTTTGTGAGGAGATGTCCAAATGTTTACAGATGGGCATGGTATTTCAGTCCCCCAGATCTATCTCTAAGTATTCCTTCTGCATTTTATGAGAGCAAGCCCCACTATTGGCAAAATTTTAAGTTATTATAGACAACATATTCATTTTAGTTTAATATGTGATAGTTGTATTCTTCATGGGCTGAGCCTATATACTTTTTAGCATGTTTTAATATATATTGAAATCCAAAGTCACTTAATAGGTCTTGATGCCTAATATTATTTTAAATATACAGACTTCATAGTTATATCTTTGGCATGGTTGCATGGGTAACTGTATTTGATTACATGCGAAGTCCCTAGTCAGGAGTATAATCTGAATTATAACATTATATTCAGTGGGGGCTGGGGGATGATCTGCTTTGCAGGAAATATCCTAAAATATTTGCTAAAAGTGACACAGACTTCTTCTGAGAGGTCGACTTCAGTCCCGAAATTTTTAAATTCTTGAATAAAGATTATTATCTTTCCTGTTCTTCCTTTTAAATCAACAAATGAAATATGCACAGTATCCAAAAGCAACAAGAGCTTGAATAAAATTAGAACGCTTTAAAAATGTAATTTATGAGATATACTGTAGTATATGTGGGTATATGCATAGCAAAAAGATCTGGAAGTATACAAATTGAATTGTTATCAGCTTATCTTGGGGATATAGGGAAAGAGGGGCCGTACTTTTAAGTTCATATGTTTCTGTGTTGTCTGAAATGTTACAATAAGAATTCATTCCTTTTACCAAAAGTAAATTTAGAAACAAAACAACACACACACACACCGTAATTCTCAGAGCTCCATTTCAGGTGGGAAGAATTTAGATCACAAGGCAAACTTTTCCATTAATACCATGGTGGTAAAGATCATGATATGGTCTACAATGAAAGGAACAATAGTATAGAAGCCGCACATAATATCCCAATATAAAAAGTCCCTTCACATATCAGCAGTCAAGCAGCAACCCCTCAAGGTAGATATTGAAGCTAAAAGATAGGTGTAATTATTCCCAGGGGACACAGCAGAAAATGCCATTCCGAAAACATTAGCCAAAAGAAAAAGCTCCCACAAAGGCCCTACAACAATTCAGGGAAGGTCGGAAATGGTCGCGCTTGCCAGTTCAGACCGAAAACAATTACACGGAAGCTTTGGTAGTCTAGGGAGGTAGGCTAAGAGGAGCTCCTTCACCCACTTATCAGTTTCCCAATTTCCTAACTGGTCTGCTTTCAAGGGCAACATTTTTAACATAAAGATATTACAATTTTAATTGGAAGGGATATTAGTTTAGGCTTATTCTCATTTAAAAACCAGAGATATTTGAAACTAATTATTTTCCATGATTCCTTTTGTTCCTCATTACTGTTTCTAGATACTTGTGGACACTTTAGAGATATTTCTAATTTCCTATGAATCGCTGAGATTCTGTAGATATTTAAAGTGTGAGGAAGCCTTTTTCCTACTGCTCTTACTTTTTTTTGTTGCTTTTATTGAAGTCTTATCAGAGACAACCAATTCTTTATTATTATAAACTTTCTTTCCCAATGAAGAAAATTCTGTAGATGGTTAACAGGTGATGGCTAAATAAATATCCTGATCAAAGTTAGAACATCTGTAAGTGAAAGGTTTTATCTTTTCCAACCAATGATTAAGAACTAGTAATTTTGTTTTTCGAAAAGGCTGTTCCTGAACTAGATGTCAAAAGCTTCTATAGGATCATAATTACTGCATGAGTAAATATAATGTGGGAAATTTGATAAAAATTAATCAGAAAATTCATATAACTAGGAAAGATGGAGTATATAGTCCTAACAACCACATCATTTTTCAGTTATAATAGATGGAATGTCACCATCGCTGAATGAAGGACGATATATTGATAATCAAAGAAAGAAAAGAATCAACATTCATCCGAATGTAGATGAAGCATTTAGCACAATGCCTGATACACAATACCAACTCATGAAATAGGAGGTCTGTGATGAACAGTGGATGAAAACAATAAGCCTGCAAAAATAGAAACCGCCCAATGGGATATGGGTAGGGCTTTGGAACCAGTTTCCCAGAGAAGGCATCTAAATGGAAAGGCGAAGCTCACAGAGCGCAGTGAGGAATTCCTCGTTGTCGGGGTCCATCTGCTGAGCCCTCTCGTAGTACTCGGCAGCTCGCCTCTTCTCCCCGTCCAGCTTACAGACGAACCCCAGGGCACTTAAACTCTGCACGTCGAAGGCATCGTGACCAAGTCTCTTGGAAGCTAATTTCTTCACGGCACTTGTCAGTTTGGGGCGCAGGGACGATCTTTCTTTGACCTTTAAGGCTTCTACGTAATGAAGAATGGCAGTCTTTTCCGACCTGCGGTGGAATTCCTGGAAGCGGCCGTAGTGGTAATGGATCTGATGTTTGTGATCGTCAGTAATGTTCTCCAGCAGAAGGGCTTTCTGGAAAACGTCTTCAGCTCGTCTATACTGGCCTCCCTCGGCGTACATGTTGGCCAGGTCTGTGTAGGCAAAGGCAAACATGGAGTCGCGTTCCACCGCCGCTCGGAAGTGAAATATAGCACAGGCAATCAGCTCTTCCACTTCTGCCTTCTCCTTTCCCCTGGGCCTGTTGCGCGTGGCCTTCTTGATGTGGATCATCTGGGCCCTGTAGCAGAGCCCCATTTGGTGATGCAGGAAAGACGAGGTGGGGGTCACCTCCAAGGCCTTTTTTAACAGCTCCAGAGCTTTGTCCCAGGAATTTTTCCTGCGGTAGAATTTGGCTGCCTAATGAAGCACGTAAGGCTGGGCTGATATTTGGTCCAGGATTTCTTCAATATACCTTTCTCCTTCAGCCTCTGCATGCACGTCTTGAAGTTTCAAGGCCAGGAAAACCTTAATGTAGGCGTTGTCTGGGTTCAGGGCAACAGCTTTCCTTAAAGGGCCCAGAGAAAAGCTCTTTATAGAACCGTCCCTGTCGGAATCATCTAGCTGGTAGACCGTGATGGCATAGCCGATGTTAAATTCTGGATTGTCAGGTTCTGCTTCCAGAGCCTTCTCAAAAGCTCCTTTCGCCTTTTGGTAATATTTCCCTCCAAATTTCAAGAGCGCTCACCCTTTCTCACAGTTGATCTCAGGGCGGGCCAACGTGTAGTTACAAGGACTGGTCAGTTTCTTACAGACCTTCCCTACCTTGTCTATGTACTTCTGAGCTTCTTCAAGTTGGCCCATGCGGTAATAGACCCACGCATAATTTCCCCAAGTGACTAGACTTCGCACTTCTTCTTCGCCTGAGTGTTCTTGCTGGATTATTTCTTCTGCTTGTTCCAAGCACTTTAGAGCCTCTTTATCTTGGTCTTTTAGGTGTTTCACATAAGCCAATAGGTTATAAAGAGTCAGTTTGGGTTTTGTCGTAAGAAACTCAAGCTGCTGCCCAATTGTATCTTCCACATCACACAGATCGATGTCTTTCTTCAGTAAATTCCAAGTAAAGTGACATTCTAACTCCAACAGGATGGCCTTCAAGGAATTCCTGGGAATTTCACTGTCAAAGATAAAATTCTTTTTAATTTGTGGGGGAAAAAACTAAGGAAACGATCACTTTCAAACCTTAGAAACCATTCTTTGCATAGACACCCGTTTAATCTTGTATTTAATCTGACGGTTAAACCACTGTAACACATGAGTGCCTGTGACTTTAGATTAGAGCTTCCTATGCACCGTTAGGCCTTAGGAACGACTCGCGAAGTTCCTATTGTGGATGGCAAAACCAATTCTGGTAAGTGACAGGGCATTCTGTGGGCACAAATAATCTGCACTCATTTAATAGCCTACACACTGGCCGGTAAGAACCCACCTATCTGGCTGCAATACAAAAGAAAAAGCACAGGCATAAGACCCCCTACGGGGCATTTCTACTCTGCAGTACATGGGTTACCAGGAGTCTGGTGACTCAACAGCTTTGTATTTGGTTTTGTTTTATTTCCTTTTGGCAGTCAGTACACCACAGGGGAATTTAAAGCTTTCTATTGACCAGCTTTGAAGATGAAGAAAAATAAATGGATACCTATTCAGTAATTAATGTAAGTATTTCCCTTCTGTATTATGAGTAGGGAAGGGAAAGAAGACGAGCGAGCGGAGGGTGAAAAATGGGTGGGGGCAGGGTCGTGCATTGGCGGCGACATGGCTTTTGCAGAGGTTGAGAAACAGAACAGAGCAGAGCTCTTTGGCAGAATGACAGCTGTGAGGGACCTCCCTGAGAGAGCCTGTCAATAAAGTGAAAGGGATGAAAACACAACAGGTGGGGACAGACAGGTGACTAAGCGGTGAAGACAATGGATATGGGGGAGCATAGGCCACTCTTTCTGAACCCATTATTCCAATGAACCCATTCACAGTTCCAAGAGACACGCTGACAATTGTTGCTATGTTTGCGCCCATTGTTGCAGCCACGATGGCAATCCATTTTGTGTAGGTCTTGTTCTCTGCCCCTCGACTTTACTAAGCAAGCACGACGTCCTTCTCCCGGGACTGCTTCGCACTGCCATCGAGTCAGTACGTGGTGGGTGGGGTGCTGGTGAGGACTGAGAACAAAAGGGCCGTCGCTGGGTGGGCAGCTCCAGCTCTCATTCTGGGTGACACGTGGGTGGGTCACTAAAGCAGAGATGGGTGCTAGCCCCCAGGCCTATGAGATGCCTTCAGAAAGCGACCTCACCATCGCAAACTAATAAGGAGACCGACCAGGAGTCCTCGGAAAATAGTGGCTTTGGCGAGTCCATAGCCATCTGGACATGGTGCAAAGGAGGCTGGGAGGACGGGGACAATGCCAGTGCGGCTCGTTGGGTAAGAAACCAGAAAGGCAAAATGGCAGGAGCCCGCATGGGTGACGCCCCGCGGGCCGAGGGAAAGGCAGTGGCAGCCC